CGGCCCGCCCCGCCCGGAGAGACGGGGAGCGGACGGGACAAACTTCTTCCAGCCCGTGGCCGCGCGGGTCCCGTTTGTTTGCGAAGACGTGGGCCACGGGTCCTCGCTGGGCAGGCGGGCGGCGCTCTGCTCCGGAAGCTGGCGGCGGTAGGCTGTGTGGAGTCAACAGGCAGGCAGGAGAGACGGGAGCGCCGCTCGGACGCGGTGTCCACGTGTCGGGAACTCCCTCCCTCTCCGTGTGCTTGGTCGCCGTCGCGGCTGTTTACCCATTTGCAGTTTAGACCAAATAGTACTTTGCTGCTTCAGGAGCCCTCGCACCTGGTGCACGTCAAGTCCGGTGGACGTTCGAGTACGCGGCGTCCTGGATGGTTTGCGCATCTAACCCGGTCCTGTGAGTGCTTTGCGAAGCTCCCAAGTAGTAAGAGCTGAAGGACCTCGAACAGTAAGCGTGGAGGCTGGGGGCATTCAATGTCCAACACCCCCCGCCCCGCCCTCCCCACTCTCACTGGGAGGGGTTCTGGGTCATTACAGCATCGAAGGGAGAGACTATTCTCATTACTGTTCCTCCACCTTCAAAAACTTGGTACCAAGTGCATATATTATCTGGGAAAGGAATGCCTGTGGGCGGTGCAAGTTAGCGCTCACTTGCTAATCAAAAGGTCGGAGGTTCAAGTTCACCCAGAGGTGCTTTTTAAGGTCGGGTGATCTACTTCCTTAGAGTCTGCCATTGGAAACCCTTTGGAGCAGTTTTCTGATACAAGCAGCGTCTCCATGGGTCCACCGCAACTCTGTGGCAACAGTTACTTGGTTTTTCTAAAGACCAGCATAGTAGGCGGCGCTAAGCAATGAGGTGCAAGCCTTGACAGGCTAACTGTGGAACTAGCACTGGTCAAGATAGACTGGAAGACCTTGTAACCTCTTAAGCCGGGAAATGTGGGGTAGCGTGAGCCCAGGTGGCATAGTGGGTTACACATTGAGCTGATCACCTCAAGGTTAACAAGTCTAAACCCATCAGCAGCTCCCAGGGAGAGACTTTCTACTCCCATGCTGGGTTAAAAGTCTCTAAACCATCTAAAACCTGTCTTCTCTGCCAGGTAGGTTCGCTATGAGTTGAAATCAACTTGATGGCAGTGATTGAGTGCTTTATTGACTGTCACTGCTAAAGCAAGATGGCGTAGCGTGGAATCTGCCTGAAGGCAGGAAGACAAAGGGTTAAGAAAGTGAGTCTGGGGTCACGTGAATCATAGCCCTGAGAAATGGGAAGGAAATCTCGAATCCACTCCTCAGTAAAGCAAGCCCTTGCAGACCTCTCCACCTTGTTCCTGCAATAAACAACTTCCTTTTGTCATTCAGTCGACTTTCATTATCTAGGCATATTTGGGGTTTTGTTCCAATTACAGAGCTTATCTACTTTAACTGCAATAAAAGCTCAAAGAATCATCATCATCCACGTTAGCTCTAGCTTCCATCTTTTCTGGATGCACTTAATTTTTAAATAAAACTGCATGGATTAGAGAAGTAGAAAATTCACTTATCATTCAAGAGAAACAGTTGTCCGTGAATGCATCGACAGCATGTCACTGAGGTGATGTCACTGTGACTTTGTCCCGATGACCCCACCCCCACCCCTCTACCTGACCATCACGCGGATCAGGCTGCTGGACATCACGGTAGCCACCATCTAAAGAGTCCCACCCTAGAGCAAATCTTTCACCAATTACTACATTTAGAAAACGCATGATAGCTTACAAACCCCCCACTAACAACCCAATGCTTGGATGGCTTTGTGTTCAAACTCCCAGATGAGCATTTTCCTACTGGATGAACCGTGTCTTGCCATCTAAGTGCAGTATCTTCCAAGCAGCATGCACCCATAAAAGTTTATTAACTATAATCTAGAACTAGGGAACCAAGATACAGACTGCCTCGTATATAACAACTGATCAGGACAAAATTTCCATCTCTAGGGAGGCAGTGATATCTGATTGACTAAAAGAATGAGAACACAACCAACCCCAAGGTTTCAAACGAGTTACTGGAGAAAGTGCCCCTACTAGCAAAAACAGAACAGTGTGATAGGCACGGTACAGGCTTGGTTTTCAGACATGAACAGTGGTGACTGGACACTTGAAAAGACCATGTGAAAGAAGCTACCCAATACTTTCTTTTCCATAACCTACTGTTGTCAAGTTGATTCCAGCTCATAATGACCCTACAGGGGTCTCGAAATTCTTTACAGGAGTAAATAACCTCACCTTTCCCCCATGAAGCAGCTGATGGGTTTGAACCACTGACACTGGGGTTAGCAGCTCAATGCCTAACTCAAGTGCCACGAGAACTCCCTCTTTTCTCTAAGTCTTGTTTAATTCCTAAGATCAGGACAAGGATATATATGCTTAATCCATGTTCCGATTTTACTTCCTTCAGCGTTCACATTTTTCAAATGATATTCAACAGTTGTATTATAACTGATTTTACTAAATAGAGATTCAAAGTAATTTAAAAATTATTTAATACACAGAGTGAAAAACTGTATAGCATACAAAAGTATTTCACATTTTAAAAAAACCAAACGCCTTCTAAATTACTTAACAGATGTAGAGGTCCACAGTCTTTTATCTGAAATCCTTCAAGCCATATTTTTAGAAAGGTAATTCAGTGTGTATATATCATAGCATACTAAACCCTACCATATACTGCATAATCCTACAGCATGGTTGGAGGCAGCACCCCTCGTCATCAGAAGTTTTCTGCAGCAAAATGAATGGATTTTCACACTAAATGGGACACACAGATTCAATGTCAGTTCCGATTAGACTTACAAGCAAATGAGTGTCACAAAGCTTAAGGAAAAACACCAAAAAACTAGTTTTCAGAGCTTTGTGGATTTTGGAACAGATAAAGCAGTGTAGACCTTTAAAAATGTGTCAGACAACATAATAAAGATTCTCTAAACAAATTGCCCATTTTTTTACAAGTGAAAAAGCAGATAGCCTTTCAAATACATTATAAATTAACATGGGTTTTCTCTAGTATTAAATGTACATCTTAAATACATACAGCAGACTTCTGAACAAGATTCCTGACCCCATATGGTACTAAAGGCAAGAAAGGGATGCTGCCCAATGTGCAGTACAACTGGAACTGGGACGCAGGCACCCGCGTTCCGGACGATGCCAGGAAGAGCACATGCCGAGTGTAACACAAGGAGGTCGGGTTCATTCTCCAAGACGTCCCACTGGGCTTGGGAGCAGTCTCTTGCACAGAAACACAGGCAGACAACTCTTATGAACATGAGCCTGGAGGTTTTCTTCTCTACACGCATCACTGCTTTCAGCTGTGTGCCCCCAGTTGAAAACGCTGAAAGCCATTTTTAAATAAGTAATGTTTATAGCAAGTTTGAAACCAACCCGGTCACTGATGATGCTCCTAAGTAGTGGTGGTTATTTAAGAAAGTCCATTGACTTTTTATGACACTGTATCTGTTCAAAGGCTACAATTACTCAAAATCAAAATATTGCGCTTGTAAAATCATGAGTAGCGTCTGATCGCAGCCATTTCTTCTACTGACTGATGGTGTCTGAAAAACAGCTTCACGGAGTTAAAAGCTCATTCCAAGACGTTCAGATACAACTTCCACGGTTTGGGGGCAGTGAACAAGTGGTCAAGTCATTCTGTTAACCAACTCCAGTCAAGACTCTAAAACAACGAAAAATTGAAAAGTCAAAGTTGCTAACGTTACAGTTAGAGTTCACCTTTATGTCCCCTTACACTGTAAAGGATTCTCTGTTCTTTTTGTTTCTTTTTACACTACGTGATGTGACCCCAGGGGACAGAGTAGAACTGCCCCAGGGGGTTTTCAAGGCTGTAAGTCAGTAGCCCTTGCCACATTTTCCTCCTTGAGAGGGACTGGTGGGTTCAAATCGCCAACCTTTTGTTGATCAGCCTTGTTACTTAAACACTGAGCCACCAGAGCCGCTTAAAGGGTTCTCACACTATTTGAAGCAAAACATTATTCTCTGGGAAAATTATTTGTGAAAAAAATGTCGGAGTTGACATTGAGAACCAAATTTAGTAAAAGTTAATTTAGTGAACATTTTGTTATAGTTTAAGTTCTAACAAATCAATAGTTCATGGTAACCAAGTCTTAATATAAGCATTTCTATAAATTCAACTGTACCAGCACTGCCAATTTCCCATACAGCACTTACTGTATTAGGATTACAGTAAAATGCCGCTCACCTTATTGGAGGCAGCAGATCAGTAAAGCAAAAAGGCACAAACCCTTCCATTTCATTGGTCGCATAGCAAAGAAAGCTCACAGTACTCATTTAATTTGACCAAATGCTCTTGGTTAAGGATTACTGGGAGCGTAAACCTGGATAACTGAAGATGGGACTTGGTATCCCGGACATTTCTCAAATGCTCTAGGATTAATCTCAAATAGTTGACTTTATTCTTCATACGCATCCCAAATGCCAGATAAGGCTGGATGGAAAGATGGGCCCTTGGCCCCCAGCGCTGAAAGATGCATATCCGTACCCACCACAAACTTACCATCATACTACCGCCCTGCTCCTCATCTGCTTCACGAATAATAGTGCTTAAATGGCCAAGACAGTTCAAATTTTCTTCTATCATTTGTGCTAAAGTCTCCCTGTAGGATAAAAGATCAAAGCCTGCATAATGCAGCACAGGGACATAAGGATTTCCTCTACTTTGTGGTCTTCCGGGTCAGGATGATCACTGCTCTTGCTGTAATCCAGCACCCCAGGGCGCTGCCTCCTGCAGTCTTCCCAGTCTCATCCTCCCACTCCCACCCCCACCCCAAGGCAATCCAAAACCAAACTCACTACCACTGATGCCGGACTCATAGCGCCCCTACAGGACGGGGTAGAACTGGCCCAGTGAGTTTCCGAGACTAACTCTTTACGGGAGTAGAAGCCTGTCGTTCACCATCAGAGCAGCTGGGACTGCTTATTACCCAGGCAGCTAACTCTGGCCAGCTGTCATGATCAAAGGTCCACTCTAATTTCAAGTTTCCTCTCAAATCTAAGTGGTGCATTGATAAGAGTTATCATTTCTTCCCCTGACAGTGCTGCGAAGAAAAGAGAGATCCTCTGGCAGACCTCATTTGTTTCTGGACCTGTATATGCTTTCTTCACACACACGTGTTAGTGGGGAAGCTACAAGAGCACAGGCAGAGATGAGGGAAGGAGAAAGCTGGGTGGGAACTACTACGGAGAAGCAACAAGGAAAACAAGCAGGTGGATTCTGGCAAATAGCACAAGAAAACTGCGTGACAGGGAGCTGCCCAGAGTCAAGGAATTTAAGTTCAGGTTCTGACACAGGAGACCCTGATTTCGGGTTCCACCTTTTATGCTTTCCTTTTCCTGTGGTCTCGATCCTTGTGTTTTGCAAACTCTTGGCCTCGGCTATAATTAGGTGTAGGCTAATGGGTGGGAACCACTATTAGCTTAGAACTAAATTCTAATTCGGCCCTCACTCAACAGATGGAAAAAATGAGGCCAGCCGTTCCCAATCCTTCTTGGTGATGAAATGCCTCAGGCACACTCAGTGAAATCCTTTTTCCTGTGCAATGTATTCCTATGAGCAAATATATCTAACATTCTGGTCACACAGACATTTGCAAGCACGCACCTCAGTTGGCAATTACTGGTATAGAGGTGACATTTGCCATTGTTAGCATTCTCCAACAAACCTAAATACATTTAGTAAAATCAAGAACAGTTATTTATTACGTTTTATTTACTTTGAGTCTGATTAATGGGCTGTTTCCTGAGGTCAGACAAATCAATGATTGCCTATGCTACAGTTATAGATGCATGACATTGGGCCAGATCTATAATGACCCCAAGATATACCGGGGAACTCGCTTTCTTGACAAAAGTAAAATACCTGAGATCAGCTTGCCTTCCTGCCATATGCTTTCTCTCATAAAAGCAGAGTACAGAGCACACAGCGGCATGACCTCCTGAGCAGGGGTGTATCCTGGCTGCCCTGCTGCAAAACTAATTATGGGCAGAGCTTTCCGGAAATGCTGGCACGGCTGAGGTCTCCATGAAGCGGGAGAAAAGCGACAGTACACAAAGCTAGCATAGAGCCACTGGCCCTGGGGATGGCACATCTTATGCTGGGAAAATAACAGAAATGGAGAGTCGTTCAGTTTTTAGCCAAAGAACAGGAATTAATAAAAAGAAAATACCGGGTTTCAAACTTAAGTTTTTATTCTGCACACTTGATTTAAGGTATTTGAGATAAGGCCTGATTTCAGAAATACTAAGTTATAAAATGGAATAGGATTTCACTCAACAATTGACGAGAGGGTTATCTGAGGATCGCCAAATGAGAGAGGCCAAAAGAGATTGCTTAATTTCTCACAGAGATAAATGGCTTAGGAAGAAATCATGCTTGCGTAAAAGAAACTAGTAAGCCAACAACAGAGAAAGAACTTAGAACCTGGGCTGACTGGACATTGCATTGCTGAATGTTTACTTCCCAAGTCTCTACTGTCTCCTCCATGCTCATACCAGCGTTAGGAGACATTTCCGTTTTGCAGAGGAGGAAGTGAACGTGTGTAACCAGTCAAGAAAATCACCCAAACAGATTTCGAAGGAATGGTTGGGACTTGTTTATGAGCAAGCTTCAAAAAGTTCATGGAAGAATTCCATAATCTTTTCATTCCCTTTTCCCCCACAAGCTTTTTGAGCCCCTTCCGTCCCTATTGTACACTGATGACTGTGCCTTAGTGACCATGTCTACTGCCTCCTTCCTACTGTGACTCTTGAAAATACACACGAACCCTATTGTTACAAAGTGAACCCACCCATCTTGAGGAGTTACCACGCATGACAGAGGCTGTTCACGTTCTCCTGAAGTGGGGGGCAGCCATGTTGATGCCTGGGGGGTTACTGCACCTTCCAGACTGGATCCTACAAGGGACCGGGCCGAACTCTGTGTCTGAAGGAAAAACAAAATGAAACCGTATGGGCAAGCATCTCGGTCGAGTTACAGAACTCCCTAGCACGCCCATACGACTTATAATGTAACCATTACGTATATGCACAACCAGAAAAGTTCTGTAAAAAAATGATATTCATCATCATAGACCACTAATTAATTATCCCATTTTTGAGGATAGTTACTAGTAAAAACACAGATGTGCTTACCCCTCTAATTCCACTTTGGTTAGAGAAAAACAAAACAAGCCAACAGTAAAAACCCTAGTTGAACAAAGGGCTGGGTTCATTAACTAGTCAGGTCCACTGACCCCTCCCCTCCTACCAAACCAAGTTGGGGTGCTACCATGGTCCAGGGCTTGGAAGAAGATTAAAACAGATGGCAAAGGAGAGTGCTCATGAAGGATGATCATACAGCCCTGTGTCTCAATTGAAGGTCACTCACCAAGCAAGGAAAAGGAGCATCAACCCCACAAACACGTAAAAGAACCCAGATCAGGCAGATAACACTCTCCTTCCCAGGAGTAGCAGCAAACTCAGGTCACGTTAACTGGGCCATTAACCCTTACTTACACAGGCAATTTTTAGGAGGTGCCAAATTTCCTTCTGCCTCTTCCCCTGCATAAACATGACCATGTTGTCAGCTTCTTTGATGCTACTGAGCGCCACTTCCACCTTAGGCAGTAGATCGACGATCTTCTGCTTACAGCCCAGCAACCTGCTGGAGAGATCAAATCAATGTTAGATGCCCAGCTCCCAAGTCTGCACACCATTTCCCAGACCTACCCACAGTAACCATCACATTTAATACTGACCCCCGAGAGCAGTGCACACAGATAACACATATACAAACAAGGGGGTTCCAAACGTTTGTGGAAATTTTCCATGATCTTTTCATTTTATTTCCCAACTCTGAGACCCCTTCACACGTGCACCTGTGGCTTTTCCATAGGACTTTTTTTTTCTTTACCTCAGATGACCAAACAGCTCCTTCAGCACACGGTCCTGACTCTGCACAGTGTGCACAATGATCTTCACCATGCCCGTGCTGTCGCTATACGAGTGATCTGCAAGAGACCCCAGTCAGTGCCCACAACACTCTGTCAACTTCCCCTGAAGACGGACGTCCTCAACATGAACGACTTTGGAGGGCACTGTGCTGAACGACGTTAGTCAGTCATGAAAGGTCAAATACCGCATGAGATCACTGCCAGATCTAAAATGTAAACGTCCACCTAATTCAGGATGAGAAACTGGGGGGGAGGGATCCTAAAACTCTGAGTTTTAACTTAACAGTCTCTAGGTGGTGCACACATTGTGTGCATGTGCTACCCTAAAGGTTGGTGGTTCAAACCTATCCATTAGCTCCACGAAGGAAAGGCCTGGTGATCCGCTCTTGATAAGGTTACAGCCAAGAAAACCTATGCAGCAGTTCTGCTCTGGCCATGACTCAGAACTGACTTAAGGGCACACAGTAACAATTTTAACTTATAAATACTTCTATTTAAATTCAAAATTGGGTTAAAAGATGAAAAACTAGACATCTACATAAAACACAGTTACATGTCTATTAGTAAAACTGCTTTTCTGCCCCAACTAGATGTTCTGGATTTTGTGTCTATCAATCTAGTCTATAAAACTTTGAAAAATGCTGGCTACCTTCAATCAAATCTGATACATTACAGGAACTTGTCGACATACCTAAAGTTTAGTATGAGGGTAGTACCACCTTCAAGCTAACTGACAGCTGGCATGTTTTCAAGCGGGATGCCAGTCAGAGCTTAGAGAAGATACTACCTGGGCAGGGAGGCGGGGGCGGCAGGCGAGGAATTACTGGCAGTAGCTGTTACGTTTCACAAATGGCTACTTACATTTTAAAAGATCTTAAGGTTGCTCATGGATCCTGTTGTTATATTCCCTGGACAGTAATCCTGACTGCACGGTTTTTAATACTTGCTATCCCGCTTACTATGTTTTCTAGTTGAAAATCCTGTGAGACAGCTGCCACTTTTGTTACTCCCATTTTACCGAAAAGGAAATGTGAAGGAAGTGTCAAAGGAGGCTCAGTGTCCTTAGTCATCACTCCAGCGACGTCCGCCTCAGCCCGGCGGCTTTCCTCTGCACGCACCTCCGCCTGAGCACCACCAGCTACAGGGCACCCAGGCAGACTGCTTTCTGAGCGCTGACTCACACTGACCTACGTGTGTCAGGCTAGAGCTGCGCTCCACAGGGCTTTCAGTGACTTGTTTTTCTAAAGCAGATCACCACGCCTTTCTTGTATGGTGTCTCGGGGTGAACCTGGCCTTCCCACCTTTTAGATAGCAGTTGAGTATATAAACTATCAGCACCACCCCAGGGGTTCCCCAAACCACCAAACCAAACCCAAACTGGGTTCTGTCCAGTCAGTCCTGATTCACTGCCATCCTATGTCGTACAGAGTAGAACTGCTTCACTGGGTTTTCCTGTGTCTCCTTAATCTTTAAGGAGACAGCTTGCAGACTTTCCCTCTGCAGAGCCCAAGGGCAGGTCTGAATCACCACCTTTTAGTGAGCAGCTGCTGATCACTGCCTATGCCACCCAAGGGTCTTCCTATAAACAACACTCTCTTCAATGTCTCATAGACTCAAAACCAAACCAAATTCATTGCCAGCGAGTCAGTGCCAACTCAGAGCGGCCACGAGGACAGGAGGGAAGTAGCCCGTGAGTCTCTGAGTCTGTAGCTCCTTCAGAGTAGAAAGTCCCGCCTTTCTCCTGAGAAGCAGCTGATGGTTTCGAAGTGTGGACCTTGCAGTTAGCAGCTAAACTCTTCACCACTAGGACCCCAGGACTCCTCCCATAGATGAGGTCCCCCAGTGTTTCCTATCTAGCTCCTGCAGCTGTCAAAACTTCAGAACGTCTCCAACACAGAAGGTGACGCAGGTTGTCATCATTTTCATCTGAACAAGAGCCTCAAGTTGACTCCAAGGTAAGAAAAACACTGACAATCGACTCCCAGTGTTTAAGCCCCAACTTCTTGGTGTCCCCAGTTTGTCATCCAAGGTGGCCATCACAGAAGCCACCTGGAAAGTAACTGTGCTTCCGAGTCCCGTGATATGGTGACAGGGCTACTGCAAAGCTTGTATCCAAACAAGCCAAACAAATGCTGTCATGAACTCTGGAAAGTTACTGTGCATGCGTCAATGACATAAAATCCTCATCTGCAATATGATCCATGGCTAGAAAACTGGGAGTCATAAATATGGATTTGGGGGAGAGGGGGCCGGATAATTAGCTTGCTGTTTGAAATCTTAACTTTCAATGTTTTACTCTAACCACAAATTCTCTCAACTAATCACTGCCGGGTTGCTGTGAGTCGGCATCGACTGGGTGGCAGTGAGACCTAGTAGTGACGGTGCATCACTATTGTGCACCGAGCTGCCACTGTTCCTTTCTTCCCCCAGCCCTCTTATTCTGATGCCAGCAGCAAATCCTATATTGAGTCGATCTAAAGACCCTATCTTTTCAGCCACCTACATTCAACTTATCACCCAACACGATCACTTCTGCCTCTTGAACGTCTCTCCTCTCAGTCATTCCCTCCACAGGTCAGGCTCTGCCTTACTTAGCTCATGCCCATCCTACGCTGCACTGGATCGTTTTAGTCTCCTTTAACACAAGAAGGAATCAAGGCGATCCGTCTGAGGTCGCAACGTGCCCACTCTAGAAGTCCGGCCCTCAGATTCTTGCCCAGCAATCTTTGCAGCAAACCAGTCTGCACCAGTAGGTGCTCAACAGGAGCGGTTTCACTAAGGAAACAAGCGATCGCGAACCAATGCCAGTAAAGGTACAGTTTCCCATGACCACATTCTATACTGAACCCAAGAATATCGCATTCTTATTAAGCTCGCTAATCCTAAACAATTCAAAGCATATGTCAGCAGCTATCTTTTCTATCTCTACACATAATTTCTTGTCTTCTCCTCCACCTTTTACTTCCCTTCTTAAAACTTTTCCACTTCAAGTTTGTTAGTTACCTTCCCTTTTTACTCTCTTAAGATCTCATAAAACACTGGTATACTATAAACAGTCAATGACAATATTGAATTTCTTCTGTATCTTGTTTAAAATCTAGTGTTCTCCAGGTTTTTTGGCTAGTAATAGCTGCCCCAATGCATTTATGTACAGTGATCAAAGCCTCTCACCTGAAGGTCTGTGCTTGAGTTGTTTATATAGATCAATAGCATGCTGCTCCCTGCAAAAGAGAAAGCATGCTGCTGCATCAGAAGATACTTTATTGATGGCAACAACTTGAAAAGAACTATAGTTCGACAGAGCAATAATCCCATTTTAAAGCAAGTGCATATTGCCCAGAAAGAATTTACATAGCATCTCAATGAGTAACGAGAGAGTTATACATGATTTTAAAATGCAAAGTTGGATGAACGTTATACCTACTCTGATCTCCCACCACATACACAGCATCCTTATACCACAAACGTTTAAAATTGGCAACAAATCTAAAGTTTCTGATCCTAAACACTTAAGCCCCATTAAGGCAATTATTGGGTTGCTATGAGTCAGAATTGACTTCACAGCATTGAGCTTTTTGGATGATGGGTAGGGAAGTAGTTTATAACTTAGCATACCTGGATGGAAAACTACTATTACGGTTCAAAGGCACTGTGATTAAAAAGGCCAAGGTCAACCCAAAGCATTATTTTCACAATACCTTGTGACTTAGGAAAGCATCTTTCCCAATAAAATGTTTATTTTTAAAAAAGCATTTTTTTAAAATAAGATGCCTGTGTATCAGGGGGAACGAAACCATAGAGAACTGTCAGAAGCTTAATCTATAGGATGTCCATAGAAAGACCAATCTGCAACCCCAAAACTTAGACCCTCAGGCCCACAGCACAATCCAGCTTACAGAGATTCCATGAGGTCGCCCTGCCGCCTTCCATAGGGACTCTTCTGTAGCTCCATGATTTCAGTGTGCAAGGACATGATCTGATCCTCCAGGTAGCCGATAACACCGACCTAAGAGATGAAAATACAAACCAGAACTCAGACCTTGAGGATAAAGAATGTCGTTTTGCTGCGACAAGAGTAAGTGATTTCCCCCCCAACAGTTTTATTGGCATATAATTCACATATCATACAATTCAATAGCTCCACCACAACATGAAGAGTGAAGACTCAGAGATTTAACAAGAAACACAGAATTCGTTAAAGTATTTTTACTCTTCAGATTTGGACACTTTATCTTTCACAGACAACTGTATTTCTTGCTATGCTTCCCTCTTTCCTTTCTGGCTAAGTGTAACCTACTAGTATTGGCTTTTCCTCAGGAATAACAAGAAGGCTAAAGCAGTGGTTCTCAACCTTCCACATGCCGCGACCCTTTCTTACAGTTCCTCATGTGGTGGTGACCCCCACCCCCCACCCATAACATTATTTTCATTGCTACTTCATAAGTGCAATTTTGTTACTGTTATGAATCAGGTGACCCCTGTGAAAGGGTCTTTCGACCCCCCAAAGGGGTTGCGACCCCCAGGTTGAGCACCGCTGGGCTAAAGTGTCCATCCAAACCATTGCTGTCGCTTGCATCTCAGCTCTATGATTGCTACTGCCTCTCATCCCGATGGCCTTGAATAAGGACACAGAAAGACAGACCCTGGAGTGCTCAGCCCAGCACACCAAGGGCTCCTGGTGTCCTCGGGTGAACCAGCAGAAGCAGGGTAAGTGCCAGCAACAACCTCGTGGGACCTTGAGCAGAAAACCAGGCCTGCCGCCGCCGAGAAAGTAATCTGTACGTTCAGTGACCGCTTTGCTTCCGTCCAACGAAACTACTGGTGATAATTACGGCAAGACCACAGGAACAAACTGCAGCTGTCTCAGGTAGACTGGAATTGTCAGTCATCCAAATTAAGCCAGCCATAAAAGAAAGAGCAATAATCACCGTTTATTGTGACTCACTTAATCCTCATGACGCCATCGCCATGACATACAAAGGAAACTGAAGCCCAGAGGCTGAGTAACTTTCCCCAAACCCACTTTAAAGCCCTTGTTCTTATCCATTCTGCTAGTTCCTCCACAGACAGAACCACCCACTAGCTGTTTGTCCGAAGGTTAGGAATGACATGAAAAATCGAACAAACGAGAAAGCCCCTTTTAGATATCCACACCTAGAGAAATGCCTGAGAGACCGCAGCGATTCATAGGGGTGCAGGGGGAGCTTAGTGACTTTACCTCTGCATAGTGGATGGCCTTTTCTTCCATTTCCTTCCACGCTTTTAACATTTTTTCTGAGGCTAAAAAAAAGTGTGACTTGGTTACCAGAAATGACCATAGTGTGAACTGCTGGCCTACCCATCTTCACCAGAGATTTTCACTTCAAACAGTCACAATACATAAACACGCCTTCACAAAGCAACCAAAGCAAAATGATGCAAAGGACTTCCTCTCTTTCCCGTCCCTCCGAGAGACCGCTTACATTATAGATAGCCAGTAAAGATCCCAGCGAGCTTTTAAAAGCAGTATTTGTAGCTCTACCTCAGTGCACAGCATGCCTTTGACTACTACAAAGATACTTCATGGAAGAAATCAAGTATCATAGAGCCAACTCTCAGGGGTAAATCTCTCCACCCAACTAGACATTACTGATCAGATACACACACTCTGCTCAGGATAAGACTGCAAACCGTTATTTGTTGCCCCAGAAAGGATTTGTTTTATGAAATAAGGCAGAAATGCTGGTGGTGACACACCTTTAGTTTACTCAACCTTGATCTCTGCCTTTTACATTTCCTCAGAACATCTGAGGAGAGTTAAACCCTTAAAACCTCCTCCCTGGGGGACGGACCACAGAAAAGTGGGTGACGGGAGACGTCAGACAGGGCAGGATATGACAAAATAAACAATTTATAAACTATCAAGGGCTCGTGAGGGAGGGGGAAGCGGGGAGGGAGGGGAAAAATGAGGACCTGATGTCGGGAGCTTAAGTGGAGAGCAAATGTTTTGAGAATGACGAGGGCAATGAATGTACAAACGTGCTTTACACAATTGATGTATGTATGGATTGTGGTAAGAGTCATATGAGCCCCTAATAAAACGATTTAAAAAAAAGAAAGAAAAATATATATACCAAAAAAAAAAAACCCACACAGTAAGTATTCATTACTCCACAGGAAGTGGTTTCGAAAGAAACATAACTCCAAAATTATTTAAGTTGTGAATTACAGGAAGGTAAGTGACCTTTTTCTGGAAAAAAGTCACCCAGTAGAGACATTGTAGCTATTTTTAAAATGGGGATTAAAATTCAGATTCTTAAATCATGCCAACATTTTTCTGGAGCCAAATAACTTTAGCCCGATTATCAAAAGCAAACACACAAAATAAACGTGTTAGCTAAGTAAGAGTCAAATAGGCAAAGCAGCAGATGGCTTCCAGGGGCCAGAGACCCGTCTCAAACGCATGCCGCGCACACTTACAGATCCCGTACGCCATCTGCTCGCTGTATCGCTCCAAGTCAAGCTGAATGCTTTTGTGAAAAAACTCCAATTTAGCTTTCAGTTGTTGAGAGGCTGAGATCAGAGTGTTCTTCATTTTTGTCAAGTTAGCATTGTATCTAAGAAGACTTAACCTAAACCATGGCCAAAAAAACATAATCAGAAACAAAACATTGGACAGCATGTTTAAACTGTAAATTGCCATGAGCCCAAAGCCTAACTTATCACCATATCAGAAACAAAACATCAGACAAGATTTTTCAGTGTAAGTTGCCATGAGCCCAAAGCCTAACTTCTCTGGTCAACCTAGGAGAAAGACTCTACAATCTGTCTCGAAAGCCCGCTGCCTGTGACGCTCGATGACAAGACCGTCTTCCAGAACCTTTCTACTCTCCAGCCACTGCAAGCGGATGTTTCAGACCACTGTTTAGATTTCAGTGAGTTGGGTCAGAACATGCAAACTGGCCCGAGCTTTAAATACTGCATGGAACCCTGACTGGTAAAAACTGGCAAGATTAATTCCTGAGCACCCAATCCATCTGACAGAGGGATTGTAAACAACACAATCTACTTACATTGCTGCCCGTTGCCCCTGAAAGAGTCTGCTGTAGTCTTCTTTGAGGCCCGATACATAATGCACTGCTTCCGCCCAGACTTTGCGCAGCTGTACGATCGGCAGCTGTATTTTGCTGTCCTGTACTACATGCAAGAAGATGGGAAAAGAGGGGGGGAGTTACCTTTTTAAAAAACTATAATTTGTGTGAAAACTGACAAAAGTAAATGAACTTTCCATGCAATGATTTATACACATTTTGTTTCTTAATATTAGTTGCAATTCCCTTAATGGGAGTTCCTTTTTAACATCTTAAATGTTGAAAATGATTTTTGGTTCAGTGTTTTCCTGGCTATGCAAGGAGCATTCCCATCAACTCCCAACAAGGCTAGAAAGGACTGCTGTTGATGACTGAGCACTTTCTAGACCCAGCTCTGATCTAGGGACAATGTGGAGCTCGCTAGAACTTATCCTTTTATTCTTGTTTCTCCACAAACTAGGATTTTTTTTCCCTCTCTCTATCAAGACCAAGTATTTATTTCTTTTAAGTTCTAATCAATTCCCACCTTCTCCACAACCCACCAATGAAGAGATCTTTGCTGCCTCACGCAAATTTCTTTACCTGGGCCACTAACCCAGGAGAGCATGTTGGACGAACAGCAGTGTAGTAATACATGCTTTCTTCAATGTCAGACTTGTGAAATTATCTATTGATGATTATTTCTTGCCTTTGCTTTGGTGAAGGGAACACCAATTTTCTAAAACCATGGCAGGTAATATGTTAATTTCAAGGAAATTTCATTTAAACACTACAAAATACTCTAAAACTGAAAGAAAGTCACTCCATTCAAAGGGACTTCAAAAAGTTCATGGGGAAAAACCACTATCTTTTCATTCCATTTACCCACAGATTTAAGTCCCCACACACTTCAAGGGGGCAAGTGTATCTATCTTACACTAATCTTTTCCAAAAAAATTCTTCAGGGAATGGTTAAAAGTCTAGAGGCGGAAGAATTACCACTGCCACTATTGCCAAAAACAAAACAAAACAAAACATAAAAACCTTTAAAAAATTAACTTGGTAAGCCTAAACGACAAGAACAGCTCAGAGCAATGCCCACATTTGAGAGCCCAGATCTCGGTTTCTAATACCATTCTCCGTAGAGAGGTGGCTGATTCTTGGACTAGGGCAGGAAATATACAAAAAGAGCCAGACAACAACAAAACCAGACTCTGCACTGTTGAAGAGATGGGGGAGAGGGAGGTGTGTCAAAGGGACACAGGAGCCAACTGAAAAGCTCCCCAAGATGGATGCTAAGAAAATTGAAGCAACAAATTAAATATTTTTATTGGATTATAATCCAAAGTATATCATATATAGATAAGTTCATATTTACATAAGCAAATTCTTGACTGAATTAATAAATGGGGGAGAAAAGACAAATCTCCCATGCAGAATTCTTTTTTTTCTTCTTGCTACAATCTTTATTTTTATTATTTTTAAAATCATTTTATTGGGGGCTCGTACAACTCTTACCACAATCCATATATACATCCATTGAGTCAAGCACATTTGTACATTTGCTGCCCTCATCATTCTCAAAAGATTTGCTTTCTACTTCAGCCCTTGGTATAAGCTCATTTTTTCTCCTCCCTCCTTGGCCCCTCCCTCACGACCTCTTGATAATTTATAAATTGTTATTGTCATGCCTTACACTGCCCAACGTCTCCCTTCACCCACTTTTCTGTTGTCCGTCCCCCAGGGAGGGGGTTATATGTAGATCCTTGTGATTGGTTTCCCCTTTCTACCCACCTTCCCCTTGCCCTCCTTGTATCGCTACTCTCATTATTTGTCCATAGGGGTTTATCTGTCCTGGATTCCCTGTGTTTCCAGTTCCTATCTGTACCAGTGTACATCCTCTGTCTAGCCGGATTTGTAAGGTATAATTGGGATCATGTTAGGTGGGGGGGAGGAAGCATTTAGGAACTAGAAGAAAGCTGTATGTTTCATTGGTGCTATACTACACCCTGACTGGCTCTTCCCCTCCCTGCGACCCTTCTGTAAGGGGATGTCCAGTTGCCTACACATGGGCTTTGGGTCTTCACTCCGCACTCCTCCTCATTTACAACGATATGATTTTTTGTTCTTTGATGCCTGACACCTGAACCCATCGCCACCTCGTGATCACACAGGCTGGTGTGCCACGTCCCCCATGCAAAATTCTGATTAAATTATGCAGATAAGCCATTCTCAACCTGTGGGTCGAGACCCCTTTGGGTGTCGAACAACCCTTTCACAGGGGTCGCCTGATTCATCACAGTAGCAAAATGACAGTGATGCAGTAGCAACAAAAATAATTTTATGGTTGGGAGGTCACCACCACATGAGGAACTATGGATGTGTTATCAGAGAGCCCATTCCCTGGAAAAGGACATCATGTTTGGTAAAGTTAGAGGGTCAGTGAAAGAGAAGACTGTGGGCATGATGCAAGGCTGGGCAGCTTCTCATTCTGTCACTGAGTCAGAACTGACTTGATGGGACCTCTAGCAAAGAGCAACCTGTGGATGTGGCTATCTGAGAGAGGTAGAGACCGCCGTCAGCACATCCTACCCAGGGTGGAGATTGGTGCCCTTGCATTCATTCTGACGTGTAGTGATCCTATGTGACAGAGTCCAGCTGTCCCCTAGGATTTCCTAGGCTGCGAATCTTCACAGGAGCAGGTCTCCAGGCCTTTGTGAACCCCCAACCTCTGGATAATAGCTGCACACTTAAGTATTCCACGACCATGACTTTATCAAGGGCACATCCTCTCAGCATGATTGATGACTGTTGGTCTGACCTTGATCACCTGGCTCAGATCATGTTGGTCAGCTTAGTCCTCCCACCCCATGGCCCCTTCCACCCTGTACTCTTTGGCAGGAACTCACCACGCAGAGCTCACATGTAACGAGTTGCGAGTTATAATCCCCCCTCTGCAAAAGAGCATCTACAGCAGTGGTTCTCAACCCTCCTCATGCCGCGACCCTTTAACACAGTTCCTCATGTGGTGGTGACCGCCCCCAACTGTAAAATGATTTTCATTGCTACTTCATAACTGTCATTTTGCTACTTTTATTAATTGGGCGACTCCTGTGAAGGGTTGTTTGACCCCCAAAGGGGTTGTGACCCACAGGTTGAGAACTGCTGATATATATACATACTTACATAGATGTGTGTATGTATGTACACACACAGACATATGACCAGACTTCAACTTACATACTTTGGATATATAATTTTTATAACTTATCGTAATTTTTTAGTCTATTAATAAATAAGCATAGTCCAGGGAAGAGGTGACTACTTGGAAGGAGCTATGAGCTAACTTTCTGAAGTGAAGGAAATGGCCTATGTTTTGATAGTAGTGTGAATTACAAAGGCATAAACATTTATCAAAAATCATCAAACTATAGACCTGTGCATTTCACTATAAACTATAAAAAAAGTCAGAAAGAAAAGTAACAAAAGAGTAAAAAGAGGAGAAAGATTGCATATATTTTATCCCCTATGCCCAATAGTATTCTAGAAATACTTGGTTGTAGTCTTTGTTAAATAGAAATTGATCAAACACTTAGCCCCTCTAAGAGATTAAAAAATAATTCTCAAGAGCCTAATTAAGACATGTGAATATCTATCAGACATGAAAGAACTGAAAATCATATCAGTGGGTGCCTGCTTTACTGACACAATTACTGAAGACAAACATGTGCATAAGCAAATGTGGTGAAGAGAGCTAATGGTGACCGGCTATCAAAAGATATAGCGTCTGGGATCTGAAAGGCTTGAAGATAAACAAGTGGCCATCCAGCTGAGAAGCATCAAAGCCCACATGGAAGAAGCACACCAGCCTGTCTGACCACGAGGTGCAGAAGGGACCAGTTATCAGACATCAAAGAACTAAAAATCAGATCACTGGGTGCCCACCTTCCTGACACGATCACTGAAGATAAACGTGTGCATAAGCAAAGGTGGTGAAGAAAGCTGATGGTGCCTGGCTATCAAAAGATATAGCGTCTGGGACTTAAAGGCTTGAAGACAAACAAGTGGCCAACTAGCTCAGAAGCAACAAAGCCCACATGGAAGAAGCACACCAGTATGTGTGACCACAAGCTGTCGAAGGGATTGGGTGTCAGGCATCAAGGAACAAGAAAGCATGTCATTGTAAAGGTGTATGAGTGCAGAGTGGAGACTCAGAGTCCATTGGTAGGCAACTGAACACCCCCTTGCTGAGGGGTTGTGGGGAGGAGACGAGCCAATCAGGGTGTAGGGTAGCAACGATGAAACATATAACTTTCCTCTAGTTCTTAATTGCTTCCTCCCCTCCCTATCATGATCCCAATTCTGCCTTTCAAATCTGGCTAGATCAGAGGATGTACTTGGTACAGATAGCAACTGGAAACACAGGGAATCCAGGATAGATGATTCCTTCAGGACCTGTGGTGAGAGGGGCGATGCCTGGAGGGTGAAGGGAATGTGGGGTAGAAGGGGGCAACCGATTACAAGAATCTAAGTATAACCTCCTCCCTACGGGAAGGGACAGCAGAGAAGAGGGTGGAGGGAGACGTCGGACAGTGTAACTTATGACAAAGCTATAATAATTTATGAATTATGAAGGGTTCATGAGGGAGGGGGAAGTGGGAAGGGAGAGGGAAAAGGAGCAACTGATATTAAGGGCTAAAGTAGAAGGCAAATGTTTTGAGAATGATGAGGGCAACAAATGTACATATGTGCTTGATGCAATTGATGTATGTATGGATTGTGATAAGAACTGTACGAGCCCCCAATAAAATAATAAAAAAAAAACAACAACAAAAAACATGTGAACATCAAGAAGTATTCACTAGATACAATGAAGTAGAAGATGTGAACCTGCTTAATAATGTAACAGTAGAAATTCATTCTCTTATATGTGAAAACCCTATGTTCAGCAAAATATCCTTTAAATTAGGGATCTGATAAAATCTACCTTTTGCCACCCTGTTTTCACCACACACAGGAACCTGAAGTTTGAGAGATAAAGAATAGAAAAACCAAGAACTCGTCCCTATACAGGCAGTCCCTGTTTTATGAATGCGAACTATTCCCAGCTGGGCCTTTGAGAATTTGTAGATAAGTCAGCGCAGGTGCACCGGTTCTTATCAGGACTCACTTGAGCAACAACAGCCTTGAAGCTTTTTCTGTGATTGAGAATTGAAAGTGCAACAAGGGAAGGTGATTGTGGTCAGGAAGCTGCTGTGAGTAGGGCTTGGCTCCATCCTTTCAAAGTGAAGGCAAATTTACAGTAACATCGAGAGACAAGTATGGATTGTCTGTAAGTTGGGGATATACAGAACCTAGTGTACAGACTAACGCTACTCAGGTTAAAATAAAAATCACATTATTTCAGGTTTATGGCCAGTAGTAAATGGATGACACTTACCAATATAATTTACACAGTCAGATAAACTTCTGGAAGCAAATGGCCCTTCATACACCGTCTTACTTTTATCAAACAAATACACCATATAGCTATCACAGCCTCTCTGGAAAAGATACAAACAATTAAAATTCTACTCGAACGTTCTTGAAAATCCTAGGCTCTCTGAAGACTTAAGCACTAGTTTTCCCATTCTGAGATACAACTGAACAGTCCGTGTGCATTAGCATAACCCGACAGATTTAAGGTCCAACTTGTTTTGGCAGGTAAATAAACAAAAATAGCATAGGCTACAAAGGCAAACAGAACAGCATCAGATTCAAAGGGACGAAACAAACGGCCACAGCCACACAGCCGTACCATGGGAACAGTGCTCAGCAATCAAAAGGAACGAATATCGATATGTACAGAGACACGGATGTGCTTCAAACACAAAACTTTTGATCAGCAGTGACAGACACCAGACTATGTATCACATGATTCTTTTTACACAAAATGTTCAAAATAGGCAAATTTACAGTTCAGTGGCTGACTAGAGGAGGCAGAAAGGGAATTAACGGTTTAGGCGAGAGGAGGATACTGAGGTGATGGAAATGTTTTAAAACTAATTTACAGTGATGGCTGCATAACTTGGCATATCAACCGGAAATGGATGAGTTAGATGATTTATAGCATAGGACTCAATAGAGCCATAAAAAGAAAACCTTTTTTTAATCTCAAAAAGGTCATGGCTAAAATCCTATCTCACCAGGTCCGTCTCCTCAAACAGAAGTTACTTAAGCTTGCTTGTCTAATTTCCAGGTGCTGGGAGTCAAGCAGGAGGAGCCCTAGTGGCCACTAGGCACAGGCGTTAAAGCACTTGGCTGCTCACTGAAAAGGGGGTGGTTTGATCCCACCATACCCGCTCGCTCCACAGACGAGAGATGTGGCCATCTGCTACCGTAAAGACCCAGAGCCATGGACCCCTCATGGGGGCAGCAGTTCTGCTCTCTCCTATTGGGTTGTTTTGCTATGAGTCGAATAATTTGAAGGCAACGGGTTTAAGTTTCAAGTATGTGAAGAAAATGAAAAAAGGAAAATAAACCCAACACTATTGAGAACATCATACAGGCTAAAGCAGGGGTCCTCAAACTACGGCCCGGGCCACATGCAGCCCGCCGAGGACATTTATCCGGTCTGCTGGGTGTTTTTGCCCCATTTTGTTTTTACTTCAAAATAAGATATGTGCAGTGTGCATAGGAATTTGTTCATAGTTTTTTTAAAACTATAGTCCGGCTCGCCAACGTGTCTGAGGGACGGTGAACTGGCCCCATTAAAAAGTTTGAGGACCCCTGGTCTAAAGCAATAAATGTTTCAATTCTATCTTGTTCGTCTTACAAAGCAATGCTAAGTGTAAGGAGTAGGATAAAACCAAAAATATATATATAGGATATACCCTGCCCCCAATCAAAACTGAAAGGGCATCACTCTCTATGCAAACAGAGTTCTCATAATCTACATATACTAGAATTCTCTTACAACTCCATCTAGGACACATTGAGAGGCTGGTTTCCGTGGGTCCAGAGAAATCCCCGTCTCAGAAAGAAGCTCCTGAGAGCCAGTGTTGATTCCAGTTTCACGCTCAATACGAGACTGTAGTGAATGAAGACTTTCATCAGGAGGCAACAAAAAAGAAATGATCTTTGCAGAGGTCATATTGAGGATGTGCACTATCTGTATAAACAAGAAAAACGATCACGTATTATCGATCACTTGGTTACATGAACAGTTCCGTGCTACTTATTCCAAGGAAAAGCTGAGCAAAAGTCATGATCTCGGCATTAAACAGGGTTCAACCTTCTCCAGAGTGAGACCTGCTTGTATAAGTCAGTGGCATTCTGAAAACTGAAGAGCAACAGAGGTTACGTCCAACAAATTGAAGTTCAAAATCTTAGGGGTGCAACAAAATCACAAAATAGAAATCTTAATTCAAAAAAGCAAGGATTTGTCCTGAAAAACATGTCTATTCAAGGAAGGAAAACAATGCCACTTATGAAGTGTTTCATAAATTGCATAACATTTTGTATAAGATCTCCATCAGTGAATCTTCCAATTTCCATTTTGAAATGAGGGGGAACTGGGACTCTACAAAGTTAAGAAACTTGTTTGGGATCACACAGCAGAAAACTGGTAGAGCTTGGATTCAAAACCCTATCTGGCTGTCATACATCTTCTGATAGAAGAGCTAGTCCTCGGTTTAAGCCAGAAATGCAATGTCATCCTGATTTTTCAAGGAATTCAACGTAACCCCACCAGAGTAGTTATGGGTCCTGCCACAGGCCCAAAGTTAGGCAAGAAAGCGGCCCCTGTTCTCACTAAAAGCCTCAGTAAAAGGAGTCTGATAAAGGCTTCACGGTGAGGCCGCGGCTGCTGGGGCTCTACCCAGGGAACCCAGGGCAGCAGCCACAGAGTTTCCGTGGACATCACTGAACATAACACGATTCAAGATTTTCTTCCTTCTTCACTTATGCAACTAATATGGAGCGAGTATCAATATTCCCTCTATATTACGTTGAACAGTATGTCCAAATGATTAAAATTAACTCTGTTCAAAAATACTTGTACAAATAAGGAATTCACCCACAGCCACTATTATTTCTACTTACAAATCCTGACAGATTCAAGTAACAGAAATACCAAATTGCACTGCTGAAACAGAAATTAATCCTTCTTTCATGTAAACTTCAAATGTAATAGGATTGCCAATATTTCTTACCCAACTATAAGAGGCTTCCCTTTAATATATAATAGCCTATTGTTTAAAAGGGGGGTGAGAATCTTTAAAATCGACATGGACTTAGCAACCCACGTATACACTGAGACCATCCACGCCTTCCCGGCCTAAGCAGACTTCACACTGGGACAGCTGCCATGGACAAACATTTACATAAATGTAACAGCAGAAACTTTTGGTGAAAATCTTGTGGCAGACATTTACTTTTACACAAGATGTACATCAAGATAAGGTAAGTGAGTGTGGCACTCCACCCACTAAAGCTCTGGACTGAAAGGGAAAAAAAGAGAGGAAATGAATCTTAAATGTATCCATTTGTTCATGCTAACCCACGGACAGGAGAATACAGAATAAAGGCACCTCAGAGATGAGATGGGCAGCTAATTGTGCAAGGACCACAGAAAGGTGCGTATATACAGAGGCCTGAAAGCCAAAAACCTTCCTCCCCAAAGCAAGTCTCATATAATTAGACCTGACTGGGTGGGGTGATCATGGAAACTCTAAAAGATACTTCAAAGAAATAATCAAAATAGATCACTTACAAGCAGAACTAAAGAGAAAGCTTGCTAAAAAAAATAAAACGTACAAGCTCTATAATATTTTCTTTACCAATAAGCATTAAGAAGATTAATATATTTATGCCAATTGTGAAAAAAGTATTTGAACTTCAAAACCAGTCTCATGAAATAGACACTATTAAAACTAACCTTCAAATTCAAAATGTGATCCATTAACATAAAACACCTTGGCTGCTTTGAAACAAGATCGATAGGCCCTCCTCTCTGCTGAGGATCCCAATTCAGCATCAACTGTAGCCAGTTTTCCATGGGTTCTACTATTAAACTGGAGAAAGTACAAAAATACAGTAAAAATCTTACACGTCCTAATTTTCCTTTAGTATACACAAGGTACCGGAAGTCCCCAGGCTAGGAACACTTGACTTATGGACAACCCCTATTTGCCTTACAATGCAGGGCTTTGAACTAGTTCTGACGCAGCTGACACAGCAAAACAGAACTGGAATTTTTATAATTTGCGTGACTCATCACAGTAACTGGAACAGGAAATGTTATGGGTCAAAACCCTGCAAAGGGAGAAGCAGAAGAGGTGTAGTGAGCACTTTCAGGAGCCTGAGACGTGAGCATGGATAAGAATTTGACAATAGGCAAAACCGTGGAGAGCCGCACACATTCAAAGCAGGGCGGTTAGCCACCATCTTTTAGCAGGGGGCTGCCATCTTCGAAACTCTGTTATACAAATGTGCCTTCACTTGGAATCCTATGTTCTAACCCCTACTCTCAACAAATTCTTCATCACAATCACCTTCCCTTGCTACATGTGCAGCGATGAAAAAGCTGCAAGTTCTTTGTTACACTAACTCACCACCCCCTGCCATAGAGAGCAGAACTGCTCCCTAAGGTGTATGAAGTTGTAAATGTTTAGGGGAAAAGTCAACATTCTCCCGAAAAGCAGCTAGTGGGTTCCACTGCTGAGCTCATTCCACTTGCTGCAGCTCGCTGTGGAACTCACGATGCCACCAGGATGCCTCGTGGCACGGAAGCCCAGGGGCTCTCAAAACTTACTTGGTCTACTGCCCCACTCCAGAAGAAAAAAACAAAATCACTCGGCAACTCCCCGGCGATTAAAAACGTTTGTACTACAGCCCATCATCCAAGATCAAGTGTAGGGCTCTGCCTTTACAGCCCCCTCGGATCATTCCAGCGGCCCTGAGGGAGAGGCACTGCCCCTTTGGGAAATACTATGCTGAAGCAAGGCTAAATAAGAACCATATGCCCCTGCTCTGGCTACTTACAAATGACTAATGGAATAATAGGCAGCAAACTTTGATAAAAATAACAGAAGTAGCTTTTAAAATTAGTATATGACAACTCCAACAGATGACTCCAGTTCTACTGTCTAGGAGCCCACCCACTTACTTCATTATCCCAAGAATTGTAGCACAGAAGCCAATCAATTGAATGACAGCAGCTAGTTCCCAATACAGTAGTCACTCTGTCTGTATTTACATTAATTAAATGTAAATAAAGTTTAAAGGCAAGCTTTCTTTTCAATCATTTTATTGGGGGCTTGTACAACTCTTTTCACAATCCATACATACATCTATTGTGTCAAGCACATTTTTTAAAAATACATTTATTGGGGGCCCTTACATCTCTTATCACAATCCATACAGTCCTCCAGTGTGTCGAGCACATTTGCACATATGCCACCATCATCATCTTCAAAGCATTCTCCTCCCACTTGAGCCTGAGATCAACTCCCCATTTCTTCCCGCTCCCTCCCCACCCCCACCCTCCCTCACAAACCCTTGATAAGTTATAGATTATTTCCCCCATATCTTACATCATCCTCCGTCGCCCCTCACCCACCTTCCTGTTATTCATCCCCCTTGGAGGGGGTTCTAGATTGTTCCTTGTGATAGACTCCCCCTTTCTCCCCCCACCCTCCCCTAATCCTCCTGGTGTCTGGCCCTGGGGGGTTATCTGTCCTGGATTCCCTGTGTTCCAGGCTCTATCTGTAGCAGTGTGCATGCTCTGGTCTAATCCGATTTGTAGGGTAGAACTGAGGTCATGATAGTTGGGGGAAGGAAGCACCAAAGAGCTAGCGGAGAGTTCTGTGTTTCATCTGTGCTGTACTGCGCTCTGACTGGCTCATCTCTTCCCTGTGACCCCTCTGCGAGGGGATAAAGGTAGGTTCTTAGTCACACTAGCCACCTTTCAAGTGCTCATAACCTCACGTGACTAGCACACAAATCGAACATTTCCATCATAGAAGATTCTAGTAGCCAATGTTATGTGAGGTGCAGAATGACTCTCTTGTTCTCTTTCAAGCCTGAAGAAGCTGAGGCAACATTCTTCAACTAATATACTTACCTACAGAGGCTATTTGGTTGAGGTAAATGACTGCTGAACCGAACTTCTCCCGTCATCTCTTCAGATGCAAATATACACTTTGGATCCTTCTTCTTAATCTTCTCATGCCTATACAACAAAAGCCACCTCAAGTCACACTCTGACTCTGACACAAGACAGCTTAGATCTCTTGCCATTTAACTTTATTCAATTTCATTTTGTTAAAAAGGCAACTATACCTACTTAGAGAGGGAGCCCACTCCTATTAAACATACCAACCTTCTCTTCCATTTCTTACCAGGTAAATGGCTGCAGATGATGCAAAAAAGGCCTATATCCGGCAATACATTCAAACACCATGGTCCCAAAGCTCCAATAATCAACAGTGGCTGTGTAAGGCTTATTCTCAAAAAGCTCTGGGGCCTTAGGGAGAGAAAATGCTTTAAAGGCCAGCATGATATACAACAGGACTACTTGAACTGTGACTGCTATATTCATGGCCATCAAAATGAGAATCTTATATGCTTAAATTCAAAGAAGCAATACATGTCTCACCAGATACTGCAGTGTCCCCACAAAAGATGTACACAGACTTCCTTGATCCACATCTTTGGCATACCCCAGATCAATTATTTTATGCAATATCTGTGAAAGAAGAAGAGCCCACTTTAATTGGCGGAGGAATTGGAAAAGGGAAGGCTGTCGAGAGAACTGCTTGGGCGGTGCAACGGCCAGCATGCTTCTCTCGAGTCCCAACGGTTACTAGCCATGGGATCTTCATCAAGGTACTTAGCCGCGCCCCGGTCTCCAAACAATGGAATTACTAACAGTCCCCACTTTACCAAATTATTAGAAGTCCATGAAACAGTGGAGATGAAGAACTTAACGCGGTGCCTGCTCAGACTAAGCTTGACCCATTAAAGTAGAAGACAGTGAGTGGTCGGCTAACTTCCAGACCGAAGACCCAGCACTCACGTTCACTGCCATCAAGTCGATGCCAATCCCTAGCAAGCCTTCAGAACAGAGAACTGCCCCTGTGGATTTCCGAGACTTAACTTTTTCCAGGGATGAAAAGCCTCATCGGCCTCCTGAAGAATCATCACAGAGCGGATCAACTGTGAGCAACCACCTATCTAACTTTCTTTCAAAAATGTCCTGCAATCTTTGGACTCAAAAGAAAGCAGAGACAGTTGATGCCAAATATAGCGAAAGGTTCCACAAAGAAGACTCATCACCCAGGATCCGTGACCTCAACAGCCCACCATCTTCACTAACCCCAAATCTGCTGCCAACCAGTCAGTTCTGATGCACAGCGACTGCAGTGTGCTGAGCAGACTGGCTGTCTGCGTTTCGGAAAGTAGACACCGGGAGCAGGCAGCCTCACTTTTCTCCTGCAGAGCACCGAATGGATTTAACCGCAGGCCTATGCTGAGCAGCCCAGCCCACTAAGCCACCAAGACTCCTTTCGCAACCTAGAGTCAGCCAATTATATTCAAAGGTAAGAGAAACCAATTCAAAATTAAGACTTTGGACTTTCAAGTCTTTATTGGAATGGAACTTGTAATCTTAGAAGAAAGCAGCTCAGAATGTTCTAATAGAAACAAACATTCCAGCAGTTCATTCATAATTGCCAGTTACTTTCAAGATGACTTATTTAGAAATCTGAAAAATCAAGGTTTTAAATTTTAATATAAAAAGATGGGAAGAAAATTACAGTAAAAAACATAATTACATTTCAATTTTCTTAAAGCTGACTCACAATATGTGTTTGTGTTTTGACATATTTTACAGGAACAAATCTTTACTCACAGCCTGCTGTCCCTGCTAGATATTACGCTGGAAAAACAAGTAAACAAGATGGATGCAATTCCTTCTCCAATGGAGCTACTGTGTAGCAAGGGAAACTGACAACTAAACTCCTGTGTGGCAAGAGCTGGGATGAAGCACCGAGCGCTGTGGGCAGAGAGGCAGGGCATCGACCTTAAAGAAAAGACTAGCCACATCAGGGAGACTGACATCAATAGGTAAAGAACATCCCCTCAGGGTTCACTTACCTTCCCACCAACATCCTGAAGAACTATGTTTTCAGGTTTTAGGTCACGGTGTATAATTTTGTTTTCATGCAAATACCAAATTCCAGATCCTAAATAAAGTTTAAAATGTATTTATAGGTAATAGAAAACATCAAGTTGTTGCTTTTTTTTTTTAAGTTCTTTTCACATCTTTTACAAATTTGCTCTGACATTCAGATTTATATGGACCCAATATTGTAGCTACAGGACTAGTTACGGTACGATGTGACAGCAAACAGAAAATCTGGTAACATTAATTAGTACTTTAGACTTAGAGTACATACTCATTTAACTTATGAGAATTAACATTTTAAAAGAATGAAACAAGTCATTAAGAAAATCCCTGTTTTATAACCTTTCCCTCCCATTTAAATCAACCTCTTCAACTAGCCCTTGGCCCCAAGGTCAAGAAAAGCCGCACAGGCAGACTACATGTACACGAGGGAAAACCCCCTACCCAAAAAACAATGGACAAAAGCTCCACTGGGAGCATCCAGCAACTCGCTCTGAGTTAGTGCACCCAGTGGTGTTGCCTGGGAGGCTCTCTCTGGTCACAGTGAATTTTTTCATGAAAGCAGTTTTGCTTCAACCTCATTTTTTAAGATGGCTGATTTAGGAGAACAGCGTGCGGCTGTGAAATTTTGTTTCCTGCTCAGGAAAGATGCCACAGAAACACAGCTTCTATGTAAAACACAGTTTCCAAGAACAGTGCTATGGGGAAAATTCAGATGTACAAGTGGTTTTCTTATTTCAAAAAAGGTGAAATGTTGATTGAGGACAAACCTTATTCTGGACGTCCATCAACTTCCTGAACAGACAAAAATGTCAACAAAATTCATGCACTTGTGCTTGAAGAATGACGATGGACCACTGAAAAGATGGGGAAGTTATCTGGACTGTCTTGGAGCTCAGTTCAGCGAATTTTAATGGAAGATTTGGGAATGTGAAGGGTCGCTGCAAACTTTGTACCTCGGGTTCGATCTGACCAGGAAAAGGTGCATCAAGTAGAAACATGCTTTGCTTTGAAAGAACAGCTCTGAAATGACACGGGTTTTTATCCCCAAGGTCACTACTGGTGATGAGACACGGTGCTATTCTTGTGATCCCAAAGCAAACATCAATCAGGCCAAGCCAGCGGAAGAAGCCATAGTCACCTTGCCGTAAAAAAGCTCATCAAGTGAAATAGAAGATCAAGACACTCATTTGTGTTTTTGATATGAGGGGGATAGTGCACTTGGAGTTTGTTCTACCAGGTCAGACTGTTCATCAAGCTTTCTACTTAGAGGTTCTGAAAAGATTTGTGTGACAGTGTGTGACAAGAAGGCCTGGTTTGTAGCAGACAGGGGACTGGTTTTGCCACCTTGAGAATGCCCCTACTCATGCAGCCATCAGTGTGCCAGCTTTTGGCAAAAAAAAACAAAACAGCACACCTCTCTTCCTTACTCGCCTTACCTTGCTCTATGCAACTTCTTTTTGTTTCCGCAAATGAAGAGGGACATGAAAGGACAGTGATTTGATGATGTAGAAGAGGTGAAGAAAAAAAATGAGGGAGGTGCTGTCAAGCCATCTAAACAGATGAGTTTGAAAAATGTTTACAAGAATGGAATTGCAGATTTGACAAATGTATTAAGTGTAACGGAGAGTACTTTTAAGGTGATAATGTTGTTTTGTAAAAAACTTTAAATACATGGCTTTGGGGGGAAAAATCCGTTTGTTTTTGGGTGCCCCCTCGTATAACAAATGAGATTCTTGGCTTCTGAGTTTCCTCCAAAGGCCTCCTAACCCAATTCCACTGCTACTGAGTTTAGTCTGACTCATACCAGCCCTAAAGGACACCCGACTACCCGAGAGGGTTTCCAACTCTGTCACTGCGAAGAGAAGCTGACTGTCACGCCGTTCTCCTGTGGAGTACCTGGTGGGTTTGAACTACTGGCCTGGGTAGTACCCAAGTGCTTTAAACCCTGCACCACTAGGATTCTGTCTCCAAGGGCCCATGTACTGTATTTTGGATATATTTTTTAGAAGAAATTTTGATTAAACAGAGATTCGCAATTGAAGATTGGACTTTAGTAGCAATATCTTAATGAGATGTAATATCACTATACATAAAAGTATGTTTATGTGGAGGGGATGAAACTTTTTTTCCCTTTTAAAACTTATTTTATTTATTTATTTTAAATCATTTTATTGGGGACTCGTACAACTCTTATCACAACCCATACAGCCATCCATTGTATCAAGCACATTTGTACATTTGTTGCCATCATCATTGTCAAAACATTTCTTTCTACTTGAGCCCTTGGTATCAGCTCCTCATTTTTTCCCTCCCTCCCCACCCCCTTCCCTCATGACCCCTTGATAATTTATAAATTATTATTATTTTGTCCTGTCTTACACTGTCCAACGTCTCCCTTCACCTACTTTTCTGTTGTCCGTCGAGGGGATGAAACTTAATAAGGTGCTGTCACACCATTTTCTATCAGCAATTGTAACATTTGTTAGCTAAAGTTAGATGCCTAACTCAAAGTAAATATATATATATATAAATTTTAATTTAGCATCACTATTAAGTTAGATCTTTCTGATTTTGTATAGATGTTAAGAAATTATTTGTGTCATATACCAATAATTCTCCTTACTTCCCAAGTAATACAGAGAATCTTCAATGGACTAAAGAGACATTAAAGGACAATGGTAATTTCAAGCAGATTACATACCTATATCACTAAGTAAAGACAGTATTTGGCTTTCTTTAAGTCCACAGCAATTTTCTGGTTTGTTGAGCAGCTAAAGGAAAAAGAAAAAAAAAAGGTAAAAATGTATATTGCGGATATGCTGGGCAGCAACTGCTATATATGTTAATGATTATACAATAAAAGAATATTCAAATGAGAAAATAAGTCAAGATTTTTAAAAAATGAAATAGGGAGAAATTATTAAATCTACACTGACTATACGCAAATCTACTGAGTCTGACTCTTGACAAGTCTTGTAAAAGGAAAGATGAAGGGGAGGGGGGCAGGGGAGTATTTGAGTTACAATAAAGAAAAATGAAAAAATTTAAATAAGCACCTTAAAACAAGCATTGACTGTGAGGAACAGAAGGATTTCTCATCTCCCCAAAATATGTACCAGACTTAGCTGCTTAAGAGTGACTGTACAATAGGTGATCAGCGAAAGTAGGTCAGAGGTTATTCTCCTTAACATCAGCCATCTATAGCGGCTAGACTATTAGTCTGACTCACCCTAAATAAGACCCACTCCCTTCTGATAAGGATAGTGGTGGTCTGTCTACTTGCAGGAGATACCAGAGAGGGCAAACCCACCCAAGGATGATCAAGGTTAAGTAGCCATTATCAGCTGTCTAGATCAAGCAGACACCACTGTTTATCCCACAACAAATGTGGGCACACCCCTAGGTCATCCCCCTCCTATTGAATGTATTGCCTATGTCGCTACCCCTCCCTGTGACTTAGGTTATTGTCTGCTATCAGGGGACTTGCATGCCTCCCAGAATAGTAATTGTCTGCTTTATTGTATGAGACACCAGAATGATCAAACTTGTTCAAGAATGAAATGTATTGCCCCTTTCTGTGATGTATGACTCTATAATCAGATCCCCCTAAAGTGATATGATATGTGGTTAACAATAATGAGGCTCCCTGGTTCTCGGGGGTGGCTGGAGAGGGTGGCTGGCCGAGGGTGGCTGAGGAAGGAGGGCTGCTTCCTGTGAGGGCTGCTCCCATGAGGGCGATGGATGGGAGGGCAGCTCCTGCAAGGGAGGCGGCTCCTGCTGTGGCAGCCGGGGTTCCCCCCATGAGGACCACCAAGCGGGGCGGAGGTGAGCAATGCTACCATGTAATATGTCTGACTGTATTATTGCATTATCTCTCATGCTCTCGATGACTTTAATATAATGCTTATATATCTCAACCATACAATTGTGCATTACTGAACCCAGAAGTAGTATTACTGAACCAGTGAGTTCTAGTAGCGGGTGGGGCTGGCACCCCACTCCCCCCAGCGTCATTTTTAATTTAATACTACAATTGACATTTTGATCTAACTACACAAATATAGTCCTTTCTTGCATATAAGCAAATTTTAAAAGTATATTCAAAATCAGGAGTTGACAAACTTTTTCTGTAAAGGGCCAAATAGTAACTAGGATAGGCTTGGCAGGTCGGTCATATGCCGTGTTGCAGGAAAGCAGCTTTAAATAACACATGAAGAAATGAGTGTGGCTGGATCCCAATTGTGACAGATCATTTAATGTCAACTTGATGACGTATACAAGTGTACACAGGTAGTGTCCCGCCTGTCAATCAGGTCACAACAGGTCACAACAATCAGGTGTCTCCATGTAGACGTGGCCTTCTCATAAGGAGGGTCCGGAGAACCGCCCTCTCTCTCTGCCTTTCCCTTCCTGCCTGCTGACCCAGCGAGCTGCCACCTTACCACCAACCTTGGGCCCACACGACTCTGCGCGTCTGGTCTGTGATCTTCCTGCATTCCGCATCACTGCAAGGGGCTGCGTGAGTCTGAGAAGGGCCTTACGGACTAGCGTTGCACTTAGGACTTAAGTCGGACTGGGCCAGGGTGTCTTCTTGACATAAAGCTCGTTCTCAAAGATATGAGTGTCACTGGATTTGTTTCTGTAGTCAACCCGACTAACACACCGATAACACTCGCTTTACAAAACAGGTAGCAGGCTGAAATTTTCTGACTCCTATATTATCATATTGCACGTGATTCCCATAAAGTTCATGATTTATTGTCTCATCATCTCAAAACACCCACGCTACCTTCCGAAGATCTCCTCCAGAACAGTATTCCATTGCTAGAAGAGGCACATCATTAATCAAAATATTCAGTTCCTCGGGAACATCACAGGCTTTTACAACATTGGGGTGGTCCAACCTAACCAGAAAGGAAAGACGGTATAGTAAAAAGTGCTCTCCACAGAAAGAACCCAGGTTTTAAATTGCAGTCAACTGGGGGGGAGGGGGAGGAACAGCACACACACATTTATAATTTCTCACTTACATAATTTCAAAATTAATACTTTAAAAATAGGCAAAATACTATTAGTATTACTACTGTTAAATTTGTGTCATGCCCTGAAAGTACATACATTCATTTACTTGTCAAAATAACTCAATTAGAGGTAGAGGTAGATTAATATTCCCAACATGCAAATAAGTTTATTAGTAGTTACCAGAGACAAAAGGGAAGGGGAAAGAGGTAGTGTGGTCAACCCTTTGCATCAACTCTAATTCATAGCAACCCTACAGGATACAGATCTGTCCTACAGTGTTTCCAAGGCTGGACTCTTATCAGAGCACATTAACACATCTTTCTCCTACGGAGCGACTGATGGGGTCAAACCATCAAGCTTCCAGTGGCCCGGCCCTTAACCACTGCACTGTGAGAGGCACCACATACGTGTTAACCGTGACAGAAACCTTGGCAACAGATACGGTAATGGCTGTACACCCTGAATAATGGAATCAACGTCACTGAACTATACGTGTCAAAATGTTAAGCTGGCAAGTGTTGGGTTATATTTATTTTTATTTTTACCACAATAAAGTTAAAAATAGTGAATTATGCAGGATACTGTTTTCTCACAGCTTTAAAAAAGTACAACAATATAACATCATCATCCGATCATGCAATGGATCTCAAAACATGAAAAGAATTCTACTTCCAGGGACCTGAAGGAACAGAAGTTCCAGGTAGAGCCTAAGAGTCGACCTTTCTTGAGTCTACCACAGCAAAATCGGAGCACCATCAAAGGGCAGAACAACTACGGTGTCAGAAAGTAATCATATCCACGCCAGGCTCCATCAACGCCTAGCTTGTGGACCCAGCGGACTTCAGCTTCCTCTCTACACCCAATTACAGAGTTGCCATGGCAACAAGAAGACTCATCTGTAGACCACTTAGCACACTATGGAGAACCTTTAAAATGTCCACGAATAATCCATTTCTCCAGTCCAGAACTCCTGCCTCGTGAGTGTAGGCTGTCCTTAGGGACGCATGTCAAACAAGTAGAATGTGGTAGACAGCATGAAGTGCAACTTCTGAGGGCAGACCATACAAGCTGGGCAGTTTTCATCCTGTTCTTGCCCTCGGTCCCTTGCTCTGGGGAAAGCTAGCTGCCATGTCATGAAGTCAAGCTTCCCTATGGAGTCACTCACATGGAAGGAAGCAACCGAATGCCTTTGACCAACACCACATAAGAGAGTTTGGACAAGATCCCAACCCTTGTCAGACCTTCACAAAACTGCTGCTCCAATCAATACCTTGTTATTTCACAGGGAAGATCCTGATTCAGGTTCACCCTGCTAAGACACTCCAAAATTCCTAATCCACATAAACTGTTGAGATAATGTGGGCTGGTGTGTATCACTGAGAAGTGGAATTTGTGGCAATAGAGAAATACACGGGTAAGCAAAAAGGGACAGGCATTGCGAGTAGGGCTCCAGTTCATACATGAACAGGTTTATTCCACATAAAACGGGTTTAAACCTGTCGCTGCTTATCAGTGGACGGCTGCAGACATGTCCTTTCAGCAATGCTCTTGCCTTAGTCTCGTTATGGTGCTCTGGAAAATGAGGCTTCATCAAAACAGTGGCTTCCAAGGGGATCCGTGGGGCCAGTTAAATTTGAAGCAGAGGCCAGCTCAGCCAGATATGATGAGTATGGGAATTATAAGGAGTAATCTTGATAGATCTTCTTGAAAGACACAGGACAATCACAGAGGGCTATTAAGAAGTTTGAGGAAAACTGAAAACCACTTTAGTTAGAAAAAGTCTAAAAAACTTGTGCCAAAGAATTTTTTCCAGCGTGAAAATGCACCTGGCTCATTCTTTAGGAGTGGCAAGGGCTGTCCTAGAAGTTTGTTGGGAAACCTTAACCCATCGCCCTGTAGCGATCTTGCCCCTTTAGTCTTCTCTCTGTTCCCCCGACTCAAAAAAATATTTTTAAAAAATTATCTAAGCCTCTTGAGGATGCCAAAACTGCTATTAAAAATGGATGAGATCAGAATTCTTCAGAGAAGAATCAGAGAGATGGAGATTGTCCTTCAGAACTGTACGGACCAGGCCTGTCTGGATAGGACAGGCTGGATGAACAATCTGGAGGAGAAAACAACGGGACTGACAGTTCCGGGGGG